CAAAGAGCCATTCTCTGTGAGAGATGAGGCGACTGTGTCGCAGTGCGTAATGACGCATGATCTGTATAGATCACAAACGGCTTGGAGCCAAGCAGATGTACTCTGAATTTGACAAGAGCGTACTTCATAGCAAGTAGCTCTTTGTCATGAACTGGATAGTTCTTTTTGGCAGCTTTCAGCTGTCGAGACTCGAATGCGATGACGCGTTCGCGTCCATCGACATCTGTTTGTAACAGAGCACTGCCTATGGCAAAGTCAGATGCGTCACAGACGACACTGAAAGGCCGATCAGGATCGGGCAAAGCCAATATTGGCGCATGAAGGAGACTTTCCTTAACGGCTTCAAACGCATCATGTTCGGTGTTACTCCAACACCAATCCACATCCTTTTTAAGGAGATTGGAAAATGGCCGAGCCATATCTGCGTAATTCGCACTGTACTTATGTAAGTAATTGGCAAGGCCAAGCCACTGACGCAAGTCCTTTTGGTTCTTGGGGACTGGCCAATCGACTATGGCTTTTACCTTAGCGGGATCCGCTCAAAGGCCTCGCTTCCCAATGAAGCACCCTAAAAAGGGAATCTCTTCTGCACCAAAGATGCACTTCGATGCGTTCGCATACTACTTATTCGTTCGCATACACTCGAGCACCGCTCGTAAATGATCGATGTGGTTATCCACATCTGATCGCCCATTCATTGCACGACTATGGACAAAAATGTCATCAAAGTACGTTTGTGCATAGCCTCGATGAGGTCTGAATAGTTGCTTTACCAACCGGTTAAATGTAGCCGGGGCGTTAGATAGCCCTTGTGGCATAACGAGCCACTCCCAGAGCATACCGCTCGGAGTACTCACCGCTGTTAGCGGAATATCACTTGCTCGCATGAGCAGTTGGTAATAACCATCGACTAAGTCGAGTGCACTGTACAATGTACATCCTGCCATATTGTTCTGAAGAACATCCTTTCTAGGAATAGGCGTCTGCGCCGGTATAGTGGCTGCATTAAGCTTATTATAATCATGCAAAATACGCCACTTGCCATTTGGCTTTTTGACACAAAATGTCGGTGTTGAATGGGGAGATTTACTCTCACGAACCATTCCAGCCGCGTGCTTGGCACGAAAGAATTCGTCAATGACGTCACACTGTTCTTTAGGCAAAGGCCACTGCCGTGTTACACAGTATTTAGTTCCAGGAACCAAGTCAATCTCATGACGTACACCTCTATCGAGAGGTAAGGCAGAAGGTGGGTTGTGATACACCACATCTTGAAATTCCTTAACTAAAGGATAGAACGGATCCAAAGGATCTTTAAGGATCGAAGATCCACCTTGTGCACTAAGTGCCGCCTTTGTAGCCTCTAGGACAGACTCATCCATTAACGAGGAAGAATTCAACTCAGTATCAGGTCTGATGACCGCTAACTCGGATAACTCTCCTGCCTTTAAGGCCTGACTAAACTCGCCATCAGACATTTCGTCTAGCTCACAAAGAGCGTCCACGGATGGAAGGGTTTCAAGGCAAACACTGCCATCAACCCGACCAGTCACTCCATTAACAAGTGTATATAGTGTATTACTATTATCACAATGTGACTGTGAGGACGCCTGGTGCTTAAAAGTAGCTACCCGGCGTCTCGATCGTCTCTTCGAGATCTTATACCCCTTAGGGGTCGGGACAATATTGCCCCCATGGTTACTACCAACCATAGTACGCTCTATACGAGATCTTTTGTCTTGACCGACATTAGGTGTGGTGCCCTCACGGCCGTCCACACTATACGGCGTATCGCCAACAGTATCACTACTGACATTAGGTGTGGTGCCCTCAAGGCCGCCCACACTATACGGCGTATAACCAACAACGCCATTACCGGCGTTAGGCTTGGTGCCCTCACGGCCGTCCACACTATACGGCGTATCTCCAACAATATCATTACTGACATTAAGCGTGGTGCCGTCACGGCCGCCCACACTAAATGGCGTATCTCCAAAAATGTCATTACCGACATTCAGTGCGGTGCTCTCACGGCCGACCGTACTCGGTGTAGTTTCACGTGCCACTATACACACATCAAAGGAATTACATCCTTGATCACTCGGCCCTAGGCCAACCATGCTTTCAGCATGCAGTGACTCGTTATCACAACGAGTAACACTCAACGGAGTACGTGCCGTTTCACTAGACGAGCTAAGCTCGAAACTTATGTTTGTAACATTGGAGTTAGATAACTCAGACATTCCAATATCCAGCACATTGACATCTTCTGTCAAAGGCTCGCGCCAGTAGCGTTTTTGTTGCCTAGCGAAGGTGGGTTCATGACTCTCCAAAACCTTGCTAGGAACATTGCACGTAGCGCCTAAGGTCTTGGACCTCCAATCAACCCATGGCTCATGGCGCTAAAGCCAAGCCATACCTAGGATGAGATCATATCTCGAGTACAAATCTAGGACAAGACAGCGCTCAATACTGTCAAAGTCTAAAAACTTTATACCTAAGTTCAATGGAACTTTAGGCACAGTTACACGACTTCCAGTCGCTAAACGAACCGTGATAGAATCACCCTCATGCGCTGTAAGCGCCTCAGCATAACGCTGACGTCCCTCAAGGGAACGGCGTCGAGCATAATTGCAAGACGCTCCAGAATCGATCAGTATCGACCAAGGCTTCTCAAAGCCCTTAATTTTCGCCTCGGCGACCAACAAGCCAGACTTGTATCCACGCACCATACCTGTAGGTGTGGTACTCTTTGGGGCTAAGCCCTGCATTCCTTTACCTTCTAAAGGTGTAACAGAACATAGTTCTTCCCCAGTAGGGCGCCCCGCGCCTACTGGGTGTCAGCATTTCCCCGTGCCATACCAGATTTCTGACTCGGGGTCGATTGTTGGCTCGTAGCCTGGCGTTGCTTACGCAAAGGGCAACCAGGCCGCAAGTGTTTAGTGCTTCCGCACGTAAAGCATCGTCTTACGACGTGTTGCTTCTCAGCAGCTTGAAGCTCAGCTTCACCTCCATCTTCAGCATAGCTGAGATCCATCGGTTCCGGCCTATTATAGGCAGTGGTACCCGAATAGTTTGCTCTCACAGAGCGAGGATTGAATCCATTCCAACCAAGTCTGGCCGACTTGAAGTTATGCTCAGCATTACGAGCAATTCTCACAGCCTCTTCAAACGTAGAGGGGTGAGCCCGAAAAACCTCGGTTCTGGCAATGCCGGTACGTAGACCTTCCATGAAGATAGTCACATGGACTGCTTTAGGCAGAGGGTCAGACTGCATTGCAGCCATGAACGTTCGCAGCTCTTGTACATAGTCCGATAGTTCATTTTTACCCTGGCGGGTAGACAAAAAGCGTGAACGCTCGCGGTAAGCCTGGTTGGGTAGAGAAAACACCTGTACCAATTGTGACTTGAGCGACTCCAATGTGGGAAACGCTATGTCCACCGACGTGCTACACGTCAAGGCCCATTCTCTAGCTCTACCATCGAGCTTCGAGATAGCCAGCGAGACCTGTTGATGGTCAAGCGTGATCAGACCTGATCTCATGGCCATCTCGATCTCACGGATCCGGAGGATGAGGTTCTAACCCTCTTTACCGAGTAGGTTTTTACTTCCACCATAAGTGGACGAGGCTTAGCCTCTTCGTCTGGTACAGATACGTAGCGTGTAGGCATAGCCGACGCTATTTGGTCTTGGACCTGCCCTAATAGGGTCGCTTCATACTGCATGACGCTTTCAACACGTGCATTAAGCACTTCAGGACCTTGTGAAACAAGGAACTCCACGTACTCTGGACCCAAAGATGCGGTCAGCTTATCAAGCGCGACCTTTTGGGCCTCAGATAGGGGAGTGGGGTTTTCCATCCTCACAGGGGATCAGCCTTAAAGACTCAGGCGTAGATTGACTACTAGTGCTACCAAGTGTAGCGGAGCTACACAGCTCCTTAAGTCAGAGGAAGACTTAACGCTCTACGAGCAACTTAGTCCCAAAGAACTAAGGACTTTACGAGTCAACAAGCTTTACAGCTTCAGATCCCTGTTCCAGGGGGACCTAACGATTCAGTGAATCGACAGCACTCAGTGCTCAAGAGTAGCTACCTCAAGGAGGTGTCGCTAGCTCTTAGTGATCAGTGATCAACGATCAAGACGGCTCGCAAGCCACGTGTCCTTCAGATCAAAATGGGAACTGATTTTATTTTGTTAAAGCCTATAGATTATCTTAATCCTACTCAAAGATCTTTCGTACCTAATGGCTGACACTCGTCAGCCCCTACAAACCAATAAGATTTTCGATATCACCTTCACAAAGGGATAACCTCAGGTGTGTAACACCCCTGGTACAACGTACCATAATTTCGTGCAACCCCTTTACACATGCGTTCCGTAGCGGGCAGCTTTGAAGTTAAACTCCTCGTTTACGCTGTGTCCACCGCACCCTCAAATGTCGAGGGTTGTGCACGATACACTAATGTTCTGGCAACGTCAGTACGAAGACCATTCATGAAAATGGTTACCAAAACCAAATCAGGCAAAGATTTAAGCTGCATAGCAGCACTGAGAGTTTGCAACCCCCGGACATAATCGACTAAGTCCTTTTTATCCTGGCCAATTGACAGGAAGTGTGATTGCACGCAATATGCCTGATCAGGCGGGGCACACAACCGAGATAGTGGCTCTTGTAGCATAGCTTAGGTGGCAAAAACCTCGTCTATCGAGGTGCCAGAAGTAAAGACCCACTCGCTGGCTCGCTTACCTAACTTGTATTGCACCGTGCCCATCTTTATATGCTCTGACCGCAGCCGGGCCGAGCTGGTGGCAATTTCCGTATCCCGAACCCACAAAAGAAGATTTTCTCCATCTTTTTCCTCAAACATCTTGACACTTAAGATCAGAGGGAGAGTTCTTGACTCAGTCTCCGGTATCGGAACATACCTAGTTGTCATGATAGATGTCAAACGGTCATGGACTTGTCCAATCAACCTGGACTCAAAGGTCGAGAAGGCCTAGAGACGTGCACGAAGTGCGTTCGGGCCTTGAGCCAAAATAAGAGACACTTGCTCGTGCCCAATCAACATCTTGAACTTCTCAAGCGCGATCTCCTGGGCCTCAGAGATGTTCATGGCCGTCTCCATCCTCGCAGAGGATCGAGCTTGATAAGACTCAGGTGTGGAATGACCACGAGTGCTATTTAGTGTAGCGGAGCCATTTAGCGCTCTTAAACAGAGGAAGTCTCCGACTTAGATAGTCTCTTAGTTTAAAAAAATAAAAACGACGTACAGTCGTACAAGCGTACACGCTTAACAATCCCGGTTCCATTACGATTCACAGGATTACACACTAACTGGACGCTACTTTTTAAACAAGAGTAAGCGCCTGCACAAGGCTGACACTCTTGACAACACACTACACCTATATCAGGAAATTGTGTTTAACGATTCAAAAGGGGAACTGAACTTTATTTATTCTGTAAATACGGTAACAACACCTTAAAACCGTGTCTGGCTGACTTCTACATTGCGATCCTATGACAGAAGTCTTATCCTTACTCGAAAAGGTGCGGCATTACCGTGAGTACGTGGTACCAATACTGTACCACTCAGATCCACCGATCTTTGTTTGGCATCGACACACAGCAAAACCGGTTCAATAACTGCGTGTAACCCCGTTACAAGCAATCCGAATTTCTGCTCGGACGCGCTCTAGACGACGTTGTGGCCTAATTTGCTTTTTTGAATGCCAGGAATGGGCACATAACGCACATTTTTACCGAAGTCAGATTTGTTGCGCAAGTTGGCGCGGTCGACGTTAGGATTTACAATCAACTTGCGAACACGGGTTGTAAAGTTGCCACAAGAGAATGAAACATGACACACGACTTGGAACAACTCAAAGCAGAATGTCATTACTGTAGTAGAAACCGCCATCTAGTGGAGCTATTGAGGGTAAATTGCGCGCGACACGCCCTTTATGTATATGAGAAAAGTTGCGTATGCCTCTTTCAGTTGTTTCGCTCGTTCTTGTACGAGCGGGACGTCGTGCGTGCCAAGGTCCTCTAAGAATTTTTCAACCACGACATCAGGACTCTTTGCCCTTAGGGCCCACTTCAAATTCAGCATCCAAAGAAGAAATCCGTCCTCCTTCTCTAGGGCCTCGAGCGCCATCTTGGATTCGTCTACCCTGTCCGCTATCTCACGAAACCTCGAACTTCTCTTGGCCTCATCCAGACTTATCTTGAGTCTCTTCATAATCGGCTCGTTCTTCTTGTCGCTGAGATCGATCGTTTCCACACGACTGTTGCGAACCATAGCCTGTTCGTACACGGCACGAGCATCTTCGTAAATGGCGGTTGCAGTAGCTTCTGTGGCACGACCAGCTTTCAAAGCGGCAACATCCTGGGCACGAGCAGCATCGTCATAGGCGCGAGCAGCTTCGTAAGTTGCACGAGAAGCATAGTCCTTGGCACGAGCAGCTGCATTAGCGGCAGCATCGTCCTTGGCATGATCAGCATCATTGGTGGCAGCGTCCTCCTTTGCATGAGCAGCTTCGTTGGTAGCAACATCGTATTTGGCATGAGCAGCTTCGTTTGTGGTAGCATCGTCCTTGGCATGAGCAGCATCGTTAATGGCAGCGTCCTCCTTGTCATGAGCAGCTTCGTTGGCAGCGATATCGTTTTTGGCACGAGCAGCTTCGATAGCGGTGGCATCGTCCTTCACATTGTTGCTCTTGACCATGAGTTGCTTGATGTATGCAATGATGGGTTCGGACTTGACCCTGAGCCACTCCGTCACCTGGGTCCACCATGTACCGATACTTTCCCCAGAAATGAATGCCCGTTCTTCGCTCAGTTTTTCGTGGAGATGAGCACCTTTCAAGAGCCTTTTGTCTTCGACGGTCGTGAGCTCGTCGAAGTCGGCGCCAGATGTTAGGGTTTCCAGTCCGTCAAGGCCCGAGGCGAGATCAACGAGAACAAGGAATACAACACCCGCAGTGAGTGCGAACAGAAAAATAGGTTGCATGGCTTTGTTTGAGGCGTGTCGGATGGGACGCTGGATAATACAGCGCAAAACTAAAAATGAACAGACCGCAAGAATGGTCTGAAGATTATCCACTAAGAAAGTTATCTCTCCTCTCTTTTTCTCCGGTGCGCAGTTGTACATAAATATTGCTTTTGGGTCATGCTCTGGGACCCCACTCATCGCCCGAACTCAAAAATCGATGTCTGCGTGACATTATCGTCATACGTCATGCATGATACACCAGTGAGATGAGTTTAGCGTTGCGATTGTATGAGCGCTCAATCACCAGCTTCGTCTTGCACGAATTGTCACACGATGATAAGCAAGTACTTTGTCCGCCTTTAGTTCTCCACTCTCTTTGTTCTCCTTTTCTAGCACAGCAGCACAACTTTCCACATTTGCGACCATGCACACCTTGTAAATAAACAACGGGAGTACCGGGCGCACGAACCAGCGTTGCAGAAGCCCTTCGACGTGTGGGTGCTCACGCAGACATCGGTTTTAGGCTCGGGCAATGAGTGGGGTCGCAGAGCATGACCCAAAAGCAATGTTTATGTACAACTGCGCACCGGAGGAAAAAAGAGAGGGAGATGAATGTAAATAAAAACGGGTATTTACACGGTTCCGTAAAGGTCCCGTGAGAAAAGGCTACGGGAAGATCTGATCCACATATTTTACACGAGGGCTTGTACCAGCATGTCCACTCTTTATCGAACTCCCGATAGCCTATACACCTGATCTGCTGGTTCAATGATGAGACTTCCTGCCAGGTGGAAGCTTGGAAGCTTGAAAACACACAGCCCTCGAAGAATGACGCCGGAACAGATCTTTTCGTACCATTCAGAATTCTCGACAGCTAAACGGCCAGATTTGCCTAGACACGTCCATGTTCAACTTAGTTTGTACTGGTCGTGGAGCATTGAAGGTAAAGTGGAAGGAAGCGGATATTGGTCAGCCTGGTCATCATTATACTTGCGTGTTTAAAATGCTTATCATAGAAACCCACTGGACACTAGACTATCATATTGACGGGGTCGTCACCTTTCATGTTCTCGACAATAAATAATGTCTACATCCGTTCGAGATTTGCGATTAAAAGCGGACGAGGCTATTCCATACTTTGACTTTGCTATTTCGTGCTGCAAACGCCGTCAAACGTTTTTACGAACAGCTAATTAGCTTAATTGCTACATTTATCTGTGTATGCTAAATATAGAAGGTCAGAGGTGCGGAAATAAAAGAGCTTCCATTAACTGGATTTAATTACCTGTATGTCACCCTTACACTAGCTTAATAGGACTTAAATAGCTTAGCTCGCCTGTAACGGGGTGAACCGTTGCATAACAATTTATAAGAAATTGTTAATAGAATATAACTATAAGAGTTGTATTCTCAGAATATTGTCATAAGGACAAATATTCTGTAGCACTTACGAGTAGTTCCTGATTGGTTGATATAGGCCATGACATCAACCAACGAAGACGCGCCACGACAGACGCACGCAATGTGTGGTGAGCAGATAGTTGATTTGCACATTTGTATTTAGACATAGTTAGATGGTGATTTATTAACAGACATTAACTATACTAAATACAGTTCTACTTTTTACTTTAACCAAGTACTCGCTTCTTCTTACCGTCTTCCTCTGCACGTACGAGTGTACGTTAAGTTACGAGGCACCGCCTTATTCTGTCATTAGAAAAAGTAGCTTGTACTGTCACCTGTACAAGCTTCAGGGTGCCCCGTTACACCATCAGTTTCATCGCATGGTAATCAAGTCCATGCGGTGCGCGAGCAAGGCCGCTGAGAGCGCGTCTGCACGTCTCTGTGCAGACGCCGAAGCAGAAACGTCTGCCGCAGATGTGTCATCGGTTGCTGAAGCGACTCAGCCTGTGTCACTTGGTGATGCAGGCGCTCGTCATGAAGACACTCGTGTCTTCACAGAGTACGAGCTCGGTGTCTCATACTCTCCTGATACGGAAGACGGATCTGTATTTAAGGCGGTTGAAACCAAGCCGCCTGCCAAGCGTGGCATGGACGATGCTTTGCGTCGCAGCATCTTTGGTTCATCTGATGAATCAGATGAACCATCGCCGAAGCGAAGGCGCTCGAGGTCGCGAGACTTGGGCGCTAATAGTGGTGTCGGTTCTCCTATTGACACCACTTCACAGCGAGGTGACAGTACTTCTGTCGGCACGTCGCAGGAAGAGTGGGACCGCAACATGTTGCGTCTCGCTCCAGAAAAGAAGGCATGGCTATCTCCAAAGTCAGTCATGGATTGCTTGTCGGCGACAACAAGTGATCGCTATCGAACACGATTGTTCGATTCGTCAAGGATCCATCACCTTGACCCCAGCGCGAAAAACTATCGCGCTGAACATGAATTCTTCATCGATGCTTTCTTTAGACATCGATGGTACAGTGGGAATCACAAACGTGATGGTCCCTCACTGCTTCAGGCGTGGAACGCCTACATCCATAACCTCGAGGATGTAGGTCGTGACGCTTGGAACGACAAACTTATCAGCGCTCGTGATAAGTTTGAAAAGCGAACCCCGACAGGTGCACGCTACAAGCTGCATCGTCTGTCAAGGGAGAAGGGATTACCCTGCCTCTCTTGGGGAGACTCGTGCCCATGTTGTGTGAACAACTCTGCACGAGCACCGAAGGAGGCTTACCTCCTTACCAGCCCGTGGTGGCGCGTACGTGTCTCTACTGAGATGTACGAAGGGATTGACAACCTGAAATCCCTTTACGACCGTGCCGGGAAGACTTTCTCCGGCGGTCCTTCTGCGGCACAGGATGTGCCGCGTCGTACTGCTCAACCAGACCCAGTACGTCGATCATCAGTTGGGAGCGGGGCTCCCAAGAATCCCAGGACGGGGGATAGCCGCGCCACCGGACGAGGTAACTCGTCCGACGTCCGTTCACGTCGCGGTGGTTCAACAGCTGCTCAACTAGATAGCGCTGGCCACCGCGAGAGTCCTCTAATGGAGGTGGAGGAGGAGGAAAGACGCTCTCCACACAATCACGTGGATCCGTGTGTTCCCGAGAGCTTCTTTGATCGCGTAACGCAAGGGTTACGCAACGATCTCGAACATGAGCGGAATAGGCGTCTCCAAATGGGGGACACTGCCTCGAAGTATCGAGCTGAGTTTGCCTTTGCTCAGCTTGAGAACGAGAGATCTCTGACATCTCTTCGTGACGAGCTAAGGGTAGCTCGTGGGATTGTTGATCGGTCTCGGGCTGAGATAACTGCTCTTCAGACCCTTGTCGATGCCCACCATCGGGAGCACAAGGCTCTCTGTGAGATGCTTGAGAGCAAGGGCGTTCTTCATCGGAAGAACCAGCGTACTGATGGTACGGCTTAAGCCGACCAACGTAAAACGTGGGATGCGTTCGCATCTTACGTGGCAACTCGATCGTGTATGCATTGCCTAGGCGGTGCAATACACGAAATGGACCGATGTACTTTGGTAGTACTTTACTGCTACCCAAGTTAGTCAATACATGCTTTGGTAGATTAACCGTAGCAGTAGGACTAAGTCATCTTTATTAAATACAAGAGTGTTTGCCCTTCCATTCTTGTCAGCGTTTTGCTTTTGCTTATCCACCGCTTCGGCGATGGAGTCCTGCACAAAACGGACTACCGTTTCACAAGCCAGTATGAACTCATTTGCTGACTCGTTAGCTTCAGTGCGCTGTGAGTGCACTGCAGCGACATCAATCTTTTCTTCAGTGAGGGCTTCCGCGCTCTCACTGGCATCATCTTCTTCGATATCGATGTTGTCGATATCGGCGTCAAAAGCAATGACCTCATCGTCAGAGCGTGATGAGCGTGAACCAAATCTGGTTTTTGCTCGCGCGAGTCCCCCCCTCCCTTAAACCAGAGTTACACTCTAGTAAGGTGGATACACGCGGATGGCGTAAGCCATTCACGTAAAACGGTGTATGGGTCGTGGACGCATCACCGAGTTGTTAATGGCAAACTCTGGCAAAAACTCACTCCAACTCTTAAAGGAGTGTACGTATCCTCGAAGTATCTCTTTGAGGACAAGATTGGCACGTTCCGTCTGACCATCTGACTCTGGATGATCAGATGTAGACATCTTCAAGCGCGTTCCGAGTGATTTGAACACTGAACGCCAGAAATCAGCAGTGAATCGTGGATCTCTGTCTGATACGAGCTCACGGGGCAACCCATGAAGTCGGAAGATGGTGTCAATAAAGACACAAGCACAGCCACTTGCCGTGATTGTCTCTGGTACAGCCACAAGGTGTACCATTTTGCTGAATCGGTCAACAAATACAAAAATACCCGTATTCCCGCGTGCGTCTTTGGGTAACCCGAAGACAAAATCCATTGAGATGATTTCCCAGCACTCAGCCGGAACCGGTAGAGGCTGTAAAGGTGCACGCAGTGAAGGACTTGACTTCACTCGTTGGCAGACTTCATATGCGCGAATATACTTTCGCACAAACTGATACTGGCGGGGCCAGTAAAAGTCTTGACTCACCGTGAGATGTGTTTTCTCACGGCCACGATGTCCTCCTATAGGAGCATCGTGATACTCGAACATGATCCGCAAACGCAGATCAGTATCATCCGGAATGACAACACGTGGTGTGTCACCAGAAACGACTGTATAACACAGTAAACCGTTACGAGTAGTGTATCGATCTGATGCAGATCGATACGAAGACGACAATCGTTTCAACGATTCTCGAGACGGTTGGGAGAGATGTGTCAACAACTTCACAATCTCACCATCTTGGGCGTATGCCCGCCTCACATCATCATACAACGTTGTAGATGGGACTGAGGACGTCATAACCGCAACAGTGATTGTCTCAACGTTGGGTTTCACGACTGGTTCAAAGTCGGGACGACGTGAGAGTGCATCAGCGACACCATTAAGTCGTCCTGGTTTGTACTCGATCGTAAAGTTGTATTCTGCAAAGAATGACAACCACCGCGCCATTCGTTGTGAAAGTTGCGG